GTAGGTCTAGTCATTTAAAGGAGTCTAGACTATGTAGTCAACTAAATAACTGAGTCACCATGAACAATGAACATAACTACAAGACTATGCACAAAAGTCTTATTTTTTTATTTGAATTTTATCATCATTTTTTTTTTATTTTAATCTAAGAAACAAGATAAAGATTATTCTAAAAGAGTTTTCTTATTTTTTTAGAGAGAATAAAGGATGTTTCTAAAGAAGATAAAGTCAAGAAAAATCTAAGTTATGCAGATAAGGCTTAAAAACAAAAGATAAGATAAAAAAAGAAACGGAAAAAAGATCTATTTCTAACCAAATCAGATAAAGCAGAGAAACCTAGATCTATCTTCTTTTTTATTTCTCTTTTTTTTTTTTAAAAAAAGTATTTTATCAAAAGAGGTAAAAAAATTCCTTTTTTGTTATTTTTTTTAGAAAAGAGAAAACGATTCTTTCTAAAAGACGTATTCTAAAAGGATAAAGATGCACTTAAAGAAAATAATTATGATCTAAAGAAGATAAAAGATGATGTAAAGATATAAGCATGAATGAAATAAGATATGAAAAAGATGATGTATATGATATCAAAATGAATATAAAGATGTTCTAAAAAACCATAAATGATAAAGATGATCTAAAAGACTATTTAAAAAGATGATCTAAAATGTGAATATAAAGAAAGATCTAATGATAAAGATGATCAAGATGAATCTCAAAGAAGGATGATCTAAAAAAATAAAGAAGCTCTAAAAGATGAATCTAAAGAAGATCTAAAGATAAAGATGATCAAAATGAGATCTAAAGGAAAGATGATTTAAAAAATAAAGATGATCTAAAAGATGAATCTAAAAAAGATCTAAAAATAAAGATGATCAATATGAGATCTAAAAGAAAGATGATCTAAAAATAACAAAGATAATCTAAAAGATGAATCTAAAGAAGATCAAAAGATAAAGATGATCAAGATGAGATCTAAAAGAAATATGATCTTAAAAAAATAATAAAGATGATCTAAAGATAAAAAAGATCAATATGTGATCTAAAAGAAAGACGATCTAAAGATTGAGAGGAAAAATATCTTAATTTTTTTATGGAGAAAGAAAAAAAGTAAGATCTAGAAAGAAAAGATAAAATATAATGAAAATACATCTTTTCAAGTCTACTTTTTTTTCTTTTTTTTTTATTCTTTTTTATTTTTTCTGGAAAAATAAATATGAAAAAAAAAATAAAAAAGCTTTTTTAAATCTAAAATACGGATTTGAAGCACAAGGTATCCCACGGTGGGCGCCAAACTGTTTATGCTTTGCGCCAATTTCTAGGATGAGATCTACTCAAATCTTAGCAAAAATTAAGTTACTTTTGAAAAGGTAGAAAGAGTGGTGTCGCTTGAATTATGGGCTCAGAGAAATCCCAGATCTATATAGATCCAGTCTTTCTCTGTGTCCACTGGAAACGTCAGCTCCAAATCTGTAGTTTGATCTAAAAACACTTCTAAATTTAAATAAATCTAATAATAATTTAGTTTTTAGAAAAAAATAAAATAAAACAGAGAATTAAATGAAGAAAAACAAACTAAATTAAACAAAAAAAAAAAAAATGCTTACCTCTAGGGACCTGAAAGCCGGAGTTTCGGATTTGGATTAAACTGTTCTTTTGATTTGCGCCACCATCTCTCTCTTTTTTATGTTTTTGCTTGTTTGAATTGGTATATCTAAGGTTCTTTAACTTAGATCTAAAGTCCCTAAAGCAGGGGAAAAAAGTTGGGGATTTATGTAGGGTCTACTTAGGCTTTTTTTGGTATTTCTTGGGATTGAAGAAGAATTTCTTTTAGTTTTCTAAGGTTTTTGGGATCTCCAGAGGTTGAATATGAATTTATATTTTTTTTTTGATTTTTTGGGATTTTTCGTAATTTGTTTCTGAATTTTCTAAGGAGTTTTCCTATTTTTGAGTATTTTTGGACAATTTTTTTAATTTCGAGAATTTCTAAGGTGTTATATATAAATATATATATATTTCGTCCAAGGAGATGGCGTATTTATAAAATTCAATTGGTGAATTGCTTGAATTAGGGGCAAAGAAAAATCCCAGATCTATACAGATCCGATCTTTTCTAAGTCCACTAACAGCGCCACTCTCTCTACCTTTGAAACGATAACTCAGTTTTTACAAGATTTGAGCAGATCTCATCCCAGAGATGAACGCAGATCAGAGCGTAGACAATACAAGACCGCCTGAAACACAAGCAAAGTAATGAACAGAAAGACCAAAACTTACAAGAGTGTTGGAGTAGATAGAGAGAGAAAATATGAACAAGGTGTTAATTCTAGGGTCTTTGAGTGTCCCCTTTCTTTCTTTTTTGAATTAATTTTTTTTCTTTTCAAAACTTGCTTCTCGAAAGAAGATCTGGGTATGTTTTACTTTTTATTTTTTATTTTTTGTGCATGGATCTAGCTCGAAATGCCCCACGGTGTGCTCCAAACTGTTCACGATGCAAATCGGAGATATCTTCAGATGAAGATCCATCAAATCCGTACCACAAATTGATTTTTTAAAAGTGAGTGGGAAAAATCAAATTCTGATCTGATTCCAGATTTATTAAAAAGCGAATAGATCTGCTATCAAATGAGTGGCAGAGCCAACATCGATCTAAAAAGCACGAAAGATTGAGTAAAATAAAAATAAAATCCTAGTTCTAACAAAATAACTGAAAAATAAAGAAAAATAGGATGAGAAATCCAAAAAAACGAAATATGAATGAAATAAGAATAAAATCCTAGATCTAACAAAATAACTAAAAAATAAAGGAAAAGAATGAGAAATCCAAACGTACAAAATATTAAATAAAATAATAAAATCCTAGATCTAACAAAATAATTGAAAAATAAAAGAAAAGATGATGATGACGAAAATACCTGGCCAGGCTAGTTGGCTCGGGGCACCCGAGGCTTTGAGGCCTCGCTTTGTATCGAAACCATGGTTGTGTACATATGTCCTATGTTGTTATCTCTTCAAATTTAATCAAACTTTCGCTTGGTTGAACTAGAGTTTGGTTGATCTAGATGAAAAGTTGGTTTCAGGGGGGGCTAGGGCTTAAGGTTGCTTATCCAGATCTAAGGTTACTCTCTAGCTCTCAAATTTCCAGGCTTATGGGTTAATAAAGTCCAACCCTAATGGGTCACAAAATATGTTTATATAAAGGCTCAAATCATACTAAAAAGGATATATACCAATTTCAAACAAATTTGCCAGCCAAATTTTCATTTTGGGGTCAAAGGAAGCTCAAATCTGACCAAAATTAGCAGTTGCGTTTTTTATGATATTGCCTACTAAAAATAAGGTACAAAATTGTTTTGCTATTTTTACTTAATTTATTACTAAAACAATGGTCTTACAGGATTCTGGATCACGGTATAGGAATCACGGACTATAATGGTCTATAGTTTGGAGGTTTACTAGAATAGTGTGGTCCTAAAGGTTCAAGAATATCACAGAATTTGTCAGTTTTAAAAATAGGGTGTCTACAAGATGCTTTACACTTTTTGGTATGCGGTCCAACTCGGACGAAACAATTATCCTTGTTGTAATGTTTTTGCCAAGAAATGCATGAAACAATTATCCTTGTTGTAATGTTTTTGCCAAGAAATGGAAAAGACAAAAATCAACTGTGGCCTTGCCTATCACGAAACTTAAATTAGGAATATCTTTTAGATTCTAAATTTTAGAGATGTGATCTCTAGAACGCCAACCTCGAAGGAAAAAAAAATTAATGTGTGCCAGAAGTGGTATTCCAAGATTGCACCGAAACCATCTAGAACCCCAACCTCGAAGGGAAAAAAAACTAATATATGCCAGAAATGGTATTCCGAGATTGCACGGAAACAATCTAGTTTTTGTAGGGAATGATCTAGATATTCAAGATCTCAAAATCCAAAACTTTTTCTTTGAAAATAATCTTGTTTCAAGTGTTTTGCTATGCCCTTGAGGACGCATAATATATGTGCCCTTTAAAAACCTTGTGAACATTAGGATGAATTGGGCACAAAACCAACGAGAGGATAGTTAAAACTATATGGCTTGACTAGATTTTAAAATATAAAAAAAAATAAGAATAAATATTTTACAATGGATGTGGTTATAAGGCTAAGACCCTAAACAATCAATATAAGACACTTTCAATAGTATCAAAAGGTGTTGTTTGAGGAAATCTTTGTGATGGCCTGAAATTTATTTTCATCACTAGTTATAAAATTTAAAGCTTCAAAAATAGTGTAAAATCAAGCATATTTATAAACACTTACAAGATGCCTTCTTTTCATCATTTGAAATCCATTTTTTATCATGTCCATACATCTTGATTAATTTAAAGACTTTTTAGCATCAAAACAAACATCTTTTAATGATTTTTTGAAGTGCACCTTGAGGTGATTGTTTACGGCCTCGCCCTCATATAAATTTTTTCCTTTTAAATGTATAATATATTGAAAAATATTGCCCAATTTTGTTGACAGGTCCAACTTGTCGACAACGGGGTTGAATTAACCAAGTCAAACAACGGTTCTGAACCTTCTTTTCTTACCAAACCAGGATTTTACTTTGGAGTAGACCAGCAAGACACTGTTAAACCACCGATCCTATGTTTTAAATAATAATTGTCCCAAAGTAGCAATAAATTTGCCAACTCCTTATGACTAGAATCGCTCAAAATTGAGTTTGCAGCAGATTGCGCCTGGAACAATTCAAGTATTTCTATGTGGAAACTAAATTAACATAAAGACTAGCACCTCGCTGTCAAAAGGATGAGTAATGAGGACTACAGTATACACTTTCAGTATTCTCAAAAATTGATTTACCATGCAGGAGGCCTTGCTAAAAGAGAAACTGAATAAATGGTTCTGGGGATTCCTCGAGCATTCTGTGTCCTCATATAAGAAAGCCTTTTAAACCACACAAAATCTGATAAAAAATTTGCAAGAGACGAGAATATAATTCAAAAGCATAAGACATCTTCTCAAAAGCCCATTAAGTACATTGCATGAATGCCTAAATGAAAAACACAGGAGGCCAGCTACACCCACCCAAACTGCCAGCATTACCACTCTCTTCCCATTTAAGGTTTTCTAGTTCCCCACAAAATCAACAAATTGTTAGCCCTCACATTAGCCCACCGGTTAAGGTTAAGAATGAATAACAGATGCATGTTATTGTGTGTAATGCATAACCTCCTGTTGCATATGAAGCCTGTCATTATGCAGGATACAATTTATGATGCATGGTGCACGAAGTTGGACAGATGATCATATTTCAAGCCTTCTCAGCAACCTGAGCACGAGCCGTGTGCTCCCACTCATTGTCATCAATCCAATCAGCATAGATTCTATTGATCTTCTCAGGTCCTTTCCATTTTGATAAACCTCTTTGCCCTTGCCCTAGCTCACAAGACCGCCTTAAAGTTGAAGTATTTTTTACACCAGTACTAGGATGAGAGGGTTTCGAGGTTGGAGTGAGGCCTGAATTCTCAATATCAGTATCCATGACAACACCATACTTTTGAAGTTCTGCTGCACAGTACAATAACATAAAATAGTTTGATAAGCAACAATTACTAAGCATGTGGAGTCTCATAATTTCCATTTACTTAACAGGTTTATTGCATTGGGACGGCTTTGCTATAGCCCTATTGAACTAGAAAACCCAAAGGCCAATGGGACCATGACACACTGATGACATGATGGATGGTGAATGAGTAAGGGAACCCCCAGAACAGGACATTGTCCCCATGCTGTGGCTCCAGCACTCCATCAATGTCCATCATTTCATCGTACAGTTGGGAACCCAGAAGACTATGGTTTTCTATAGTCCGTTGGATTATACTGTCCTCTCTCTTTTATTATATACTTATTCACAAACAAGATGACAAAGGCAACAGGCAACAAGCAACAAGGGCAAGGTAATGGAAAGGAAAAACAGCATCTAGTAAACTGTCCAGTAAACATGCAACAAGCCCCAGATACCTAATGCAGGCTGAAAGATAACACTAATTATTCTTCAAGTGAACTGCATAGTTACAGGTTCAAAATGAAGCTTCACTAGCTGAATTAATAAGAGGGAAGAGATGGACCACTGCTGTAAAATATGAGCTTGAGTGCAGATGTGAGTAATGTTCTCAAATTGGAGTAATATGGAGCCCAACAAAAGTTAGATACACGCATGAAAATAAAATGAAATTCCTGGGTCAGCTGTAGGAAGTCCAAACAATAATGTCATCATCACTATCATTATCATCTGAGCCCTATCCCAACTATTTTGAGTCGGATAGTTATGTGACCAGAACAATGGACTCTAGAAGTTTTGAATTTTTTTTTTTAAATAATAACATTGGCATATTGCAGTATGGGTGGCATTAATTCAATACGATACATATAACATGCATCAACAAATTGCCCAAAGGCTACAACCAGCCATTGACAATGTAAAATTCCCTGTTTGCCCCCTACTAAAGTAAATTACCCCTAAAGGCAGCTCTAAGAGGTGGGGAGGGAACTTTCATCAAAACACCAAAGCCCACACCATTTCTTCCACCAAATTTCACAAAATTTGAAGTATTGAACTTTTGGGAAAGGAAGGGATCAATTTGGGTTTTACAATCCACAGTTGACACCATGTATTTCTTTTGTTTTCCATTTTTGAGAATACAAAGGGTAATCTCCAATAACTTCAGCAATGCCAAACTGCTCCTCTCGTAAAAAAATTAATACCTGAATTAAATTTGAGGAAGAAAGAATATTGGATAACTGAATTTTCTCTAGAGGATTGTAGATGTAGATTAAAGTCATTGAACAGATTGCATAATTGAAATGTAGGAAGGGTATATCCAATAACTAAAGTAGGCCATAGCTGAGCACTGCTAAAACAAACTCTAGCTTCAAGAAAAACTCCCCAATCGAAGGTGTAAACAGGTCAGGTCGTAGACTCCAACATGGACCCAACCCGATCCAGTTAGGTCTGGGCTGGATCTGGACCCAGAATGGGACCCAATCAGGTCTAATTAGCCAAACAAGTCCTGCCATGTCCAGACCTGGACCCAGAACGGGATCCAATCAGGTCTAATTGGCCAAACAAGTCCTGCCTGGTCCAGACCTAAAGCCAAGAGGGTCAAGCTGCTGGTTGGCAGGTTGATCTGACCAGACTATCACCCCCATCCCCAATACCAAGTTTTGAATATGAAGAGAGACATATACAGAATCTAGACACGCCCAATCTGCATTTAGCCCTCCTATTGGATTACATCATCCATAACAAGTAGTGTAGTAACTATTTTAGACATTCTTAGTGATATGAATGATGTGCAACAGCCACTTCAATCCCACTTTCTCAAGCCTGCACAAAATTTTCTATTACTCCACCATTGGTTAGTAGTAGAGTGATCGGGTTGGGTCCATGTTGGAGTAGAGTGATCGGGTAATTGAGTTGAGATCCGCTCATTATGAAGCATATTGTAACATGCCTATACATGAGCATCTACCTTCCAAAGTGCATTGACCATATCCAAAATGTGTTGGGCAGCAGCGACTCAATTCGGGACGATACAATCAGACAATAGAGGCACGGTGGGAGCATGAGCAAGTAAGGCAATGGACTCAATACAGGGTTACATCAATATTTAGATAATGTATCGTAACCCATATTGGAAAAACCGAGAGATCTAACCAATAACCGCCCAGTTAGATCGAAACCGGCCACTGGCTGATTCTGGTTTCAGGCGGTTTTGGTGAGCGGCCGGTGTTTCAAAATAAAAAAGTTCAAAACAATGTATATAAGATCCCAAAAATAAGGAATTTGGTTTGTAATACAGTTTTTTATGTTCCTTACATTATGGTAAAGATTAGAAATTGTTTTGGTCATTAATATTCACTTTTATATTTTCCCATCTTTTTCAGAAAATTTTAAAAATACCCCTAAGCACAAATCGATTCTTTAAAATCCATTTTTTCATTAATTTTCAACTTCATTTGAATGTGTTTTGTTTTAATCATTCTTTATATGTTTTTCATATTTTAGTAGATTTTTTTGTATCTTTTTTATTTTTTTCAACAACTTTTTGACTACACTGGACTTGCCCGGTTAGAATGGTTAAATCGGCCGGTTTACCGATTAGGCCAGTTAAACCGCTTCTGGCCCAATGTCCGATTAACCGTTCTGGTTCGATTTTGCAAACATTGGTCGTAACAAGTACGTAGGGGAAATATTCCAATGCAGGAGAGAAATCAAAGTTTTGACGAGGAGGTCCACAAAACATGTGGATTTAATGAAAGTTTGTATGCCAAACAGCCTCCTTTTATTATTTTTTTGCAACCTAGGTTTCATTAAAGTTTACCCAGGATCCAGACAAGCGCTAACCTTAAAAATTCTCAATCAAGTAATAGCATGAGAATAAATTCAAGGAGGTTAATTACTTAATTCATCAACGAAGAACTTCAGTCATTTTCTTGTCTCATTTTTTTTTGGATAGGTAAAATTGAGAATCAATGTTACAAGGTCCAGTTTGCGAACATGGTAATGTGCAAGTCTGAAAGCACTCTTAGGAAAGAAAGTTCTTACTTTTATCTATGAGCAGAAGAAATTTACAAAAGATTTCATCAAAATAAAATCCAGAAGAAGAAGAGAGTTCTGGAAAATTTTGCAATCCCTAGGGTATCAATAGAAAACCTGCGCAGGAAACATCTTTACAAGAAGTCTCTTTAAGAGCTACTAGGAAAATCTATGACTGAAAAAAGTTTCCCTAGACTAGGATTGAGATTGCAAACATTGATTAGAGAGCACATGAATATGATCATTAGTGGTGATCATTTATGATCTTTTTATGGTGTAATTGACAGGCAGCAAGATCACAGGTGACAAATTGGACCTCTCCAAGAATTTGGAGAATGGTCAACGCTCAATAACAAGAATCAAAATAATGGTAGAATGTGTGATGACAGATAATAAGAGATCAAATAATGGCATTAAGCAATAAGTACACAGAGCCGTTTACTTCTAGAGACATGTTCATAAAATTGCGAATCACAAACATGCAAATATTCTAGTCACAACAGTAAAGGTATCTTCGTAATCATGACTAACGGTACAGAATCAAGCGGATTGAACTTGAGCTTGGATCCAATGGTAGCCTACAACATTCTATTCACAGAAACAGCTACTACAGTGCAAGCCCGGGAATGTTTTGCAACATAGCATTTCTAATAGTAACATGAAGGAGTTTGTCTTGCCTTCTCAAATGATCAAGTTCACTGAATATCTGTAATGTCATATAAATAAGTCAAGCTATCACAACTTTACCAGGGCACAAATAAAAGCCTTGCACTCAAGCTAGATGCCTTACAAGGAAAAATATGCATAATCAAAGTATCATTTCATTATCATCATAAGGCCAATCAGATAACAGTGTGCAGCTAATGATATGACGAGATGGATTGAATGGCCTTGTCCATGAGTGTTGAAAGACAGCAAACAAAGAAAGAACAACAGGAGCCTAACGTGTTCCCCTTTAGCTTCAAAGTGCCACTAGCCCTACACGAGCACAGTTTCCAACTTTGAAATTTGAACTAGATGAGACTATTTGTCTCCAATTTGAGAGTTGATAAGTGATAAAAAGGGAAATGGCAGTAAAAGAACATGTTCAAGAGATGCAAACCAATTCAAACAGAGAACTAGATGAGATTATCTGTCTCCAATTTTTGGGAATTGGTAAGTGATAAAAAGGGTAATGGCACTAAAAGAACAAGTTCAAGAGATGCACACCAATACAAACAGAATTCAGGAACACAAGGATCAACCCTGGGGAAGCACAATAAAGCCATAAAAATTAACTCTATAAAAATAGATTCAAAAAGCCCAAGAAAGACATAGAAATTAACTCTATAAATATAGTTTAGTTTCAAAAATCGGTCTGCCAAGAACCTAGGAACCTTGGGAAACCTAATAGAAATTCAAAATTAACTGTCTGTGAAGCGCCTAGGAACCCTGGGAAACCTAATAAAGGCATAGAAATTAACTCTGCCTAGGCACTAGGGGTAAGCGAATAGGCAGTAGGGCCCAACTAGGCAGCTATTTTTGGTGATTGGGATTGGGTGGGGTATTTTTAGTGTTTTTTGTTTGGATTATACCACGGTCGATGAAACACTGCTGAAAAATTCCAGTAAAGAAATTGAAATCAACCCTGATAAAGCCCAATAAAGCCATGAAAGACTACCCAGGAAAATCCATGGGCCAAAACTAAACAAAACCCCATAGTCCAATGAAATGAAGCAAAAGCACCAAACCCTCTAAGACCATGAAACCCTGCCACTCAAAAACCCAAAAAAGTAACAATAACAACAACATAAAAGGGAAAAGTACGAAGAGCCAGTGGGCTCATACCTGCAGCTCCATGGGCAAAATGGCACTTCTCTCCAAAAGGGCAAGAACCAGTACTCTCCCACTTGTTACACATCCTCGTCTTCCAAAACATCGGCTTCAGGTTCGACCCATTCAGTTCACCACCATTCCCTCCCTCCGTTGCATTCAAACCCACTGGTTTTTTAGAAAAATTTGAAAGTGATTCAAATACATGAGAACCTCCATTACCAGAATTAGAATTTGTTCCGATACTAATTGCCAAACTCTCTCTAGATCTGCCCAAATCATCATGGACAAAGTTACATCGATCCCCATAAGAACACACCTCCCCATTATAGTACTTCTTACAAATTCTAAGTCTATGAAGCCTCTGGTTCTCTTGCCAAGTCAGCAATTGAGGAGGAGTAGGAAGGGGCAAAGTTGGTTCTTCTCTGAAAGGAAAAAGAGGAAGCGGTGCAGAGGAAGCTCCACTATCAACTATCTGTTGCCAATTTGGAGGTGGTTTTCGAAGGTCATCGACTCCATGAGCGTAGTTACAGGAGTTCGGCGTGTAAGGACAATTTCCTTGCTGGAATCTTGTGCAGAGTTTGGTTTTGAAGAAGATCCGACCATAGCTTGGGTTTCCTCTGGGACGAGAAGGAAAGGGGTCAATGGGATTTGGATCACCAAAGGAAAACGAAAGCCTGAGTTTTTTGGAGGGGTGAAAATTAGGGTTAGGGTTTTGGGGTTCGAAGTCTTCATCAGTGGGCCACATGATGGGGTGGTTACGGGAGAAAGGGGGCCACAGCTCCGAGGGCGGGTTCATGGTTTGGATTTTGCTTAGAGAGAGAGAAACCTAAACCCAGAGAGAGAGAGAGAGAGAGAGAGGACGTAATAGAGAGAGACAAGAAGAGAGAGAGCGAGAGAGAGAGAGAGAGGAGGAGAGGGACTACCAACCTCCCATATCGACCATATCTATATATAGGACACGAGACCGTTTTTTTAAAATTTTAAAAATACTAAATTTTAATTTTTAAATTTTTTTTGGTAAGTTTATCATATATCATATACACACTGGGATGATATGCATATCGTAAAGTATTATATATCGCATATTTATTATCTATATGTAAAACTATTTGTAATCCCTCGAGTATATTCTATTTACATTAAAAATTAGATATATAATTTCTACAAAATAAAAATTTAATTTATTAAACTAAAAGTATTCATTTCTGATTAACAATAAATTTATAGATATTAAATCTAAAAAATATTTATCGATAGAATAATAGTATAGCATGCTCCCACAAGAACATGTTATACAAATTTTCAAAATCAAAATACTAGCCTTTATTTATTATCGGGTGAATATATGATTTTGTTATAAAATATTTTTAAGATTATCTCAAAATCTATTTTCATATCTAATTATAAAATTTAAAATTTAAAAAAAGGTTAAAATCAAGTAGATCTATAAACATATGAAAATCTTGAAAATGGACTATGTAGAGAATGAGTTGCAAGATTCACTATTTCTAATACTCAAAATCTTTTTTATATATATATTCATGCAGCTCAAGTTGCAAGATTCACTATTTATGGTACTCAAAATCTTTTTTTTATATATATTCATGCAGCTCGATGTCAAGATGATCAATTAGAAGGTTTTTCAACATTAAAACAATATTTTTCGATGGATTTTTTATGTGCATCTTTAATTCTACATTTTAAGATTGTAACCTCATATAAACTTTTTGTCATATGCGTAACAAAAGCAACAATAGTTACCTTGTTTCTTACAAAAATGACCAACATCTTTAAAGAAAAAGATAATTAAGTCTTTGAATATGATGAAGTTTATATAAAGCCTATGCTTTATGAGAACAAAATAAAGCCTAGCCTCAAATCCTCGTTCCGAAAAGCACATCCCACATTGAAAATCTCCATGATGCTCTAATATCAATTTTTGACGCCAACAATAAACTTTGAAAGTAAAAAAATGCTACAAATCTTATCGATATGTGAACACTTATTTTTATAGTAAAATGGATGGCCTAGGTGATTTGTTGCCATATACACTATTTTTCGATTTTGAAATCCTAATTTTTTTTCACAACTATAATATTCAATCCGAGATGATCGATTCAAAGGTTTTCCAATTGTTGAACTGCAATTTTTGATGAATTATTAGGTGATGGTTTACTTATTTTGATAGGACTGACCATTACATTACAAAATAAAAAGGGTGCGGTTTCAATAAGGTTGCAAACTTAAAGAATCCAATTAAGGCGCTCCTCGAAATTTTATTATAACATATAATTTTGGTATAAAGAATTCTTAAAATTATCTAA